GACCAAAGTGGTCACTCCAAACAAAAATATGCAGCTGTAATCTCCTACTCTGAGATTTATCACGATTAAAGAAGATATTATACTGACCACCCTTCTTCCATCACACAGTCCTTGGTCCAGAACTCCAGGAAGGCGGGCATCACCTCAGCCCTGACATCAAGTACCCTACATAATGAAGAACTGGTCAGTCCACATTTATATTCTTTAATTAAATGATTTCAAATTCTGCATGTAAGCTTTAACTCTGCTGACTTTGGGCTTATCTTTCTTACAACCTTGTAGAAGAGTCATGTCTATAAGAAGACCCTCCAGGCCCTCATATATCCTATTTCCTGCACCACCCCACACAACTTTGAGGTGTGGACAGCCACCACACCCACGTACTGCTATGAATGTGAGGGACTCCTCTGGGGTATTGCTCGCCAGGGCATGCGCTGTACTGAGTGTGGGGTGAAATGCCACGAGAAGTGCCAGGATCTACTCAACGCCGACTGTCTGCAAAGTAAGATGAACGCCGGGAGGCATCACTCCATTTCAGCCCCCAAAGCATTAATGAAGTGAGGTGACTAGTTTACAAACGTGACAATGAAATCTAAATTTAGCAGCTCATATGTGCAGCGGGTAAACACTCCCAGTCACTGCTAGCGCAAAAAGACGGTGTAAATTCAGATAAATACAACCAGTATCTCCAGCTGGCTTTTATAAATTATCATTTTTAATCGTTTCACTTTTTTAAAAAACGTTATATTTTTAAGTTTTTTAATACTGGCAGGTTATCTTTTTTTCACTGGCCTTCCATCAGAGACCCGATGCCAACTTCAGCTATCAGTGAACAGAAAGGCTCAGATCAGTTAGATATTCAGTTGAATTTAGAAGAGGTAGAGTGGGTAATCCACTGTCTGGGAGGGCCACTGTTTGATTCCTTGGCTCTGAAGCATCTTAACTAATTGCCCATATTGTCATAAATGCATCTGTCAGTGATATATGAAGTGTGTGAATGTGGTTTTAATGATTACAGACATGAGAGTGAGAAAGGATTGCAGAAAATACCCTTTTGCTGAGTTTCCGTTTTAGACTTTTTGCGGTGTCAGTTCTTTTTATTTATATTTATTAATAATAGAAAACAATGTAGTCCATTTATTTTCCTCTCCTGTCTATTTGTCAGTGCCAAGCACAGAGCCTTCCTCACTCCTCCTTCTCTTCTTACTCCTACATTCCTATTTTCGTTGTTTTCATGAGAGGATATTACAAACCATTTGTCTTTTCTTGTGATCCGCCTCGCTCTCTTTCCATCTTTTTCACTCAGCATTTTATAGCCCTGCAAAAGCATCCTCTTATATTTCATGAAATACACCAAAGTTGTTATTATAGTGTTATGATATTCGTTTGAAATCATCTGAAAAATTGTAGAAATTTATCCGCCATGATTTCAGGATCAGTAAGCGTGAGCTCACTTCTCATCTCACATGGCACCTTTTTCCGTTTTTGTTTACAAATCTGATTCTTTTACTTCTCAATTTTCTTGCCAACCAGGAGCGGCAGAGAAGAGCTCCAAGCACGGCGCCGAGGACCGAACTCAAAATATTATCATGGTTCTTAAGGATCGCATGAAGATCCGTGAGAGGAACAAACCAGAGATCTTTGAACTCATTCAGGAAGTGTTCACCGTCCTCAAGTCCACACATGTCACCCAGATGAAGCAGATCAAACAGAGCGTGCTCGATGGCACCTCTAAATGGTCGGCCAAGATCAGCATCACAGGTTTGTGTCTATAAAAAGAGACAAGCTGCTGTTTATATGCAGTGAACACAGGTGGCGTCTGTGGGGCAGTAGCTCAGAAGGTCAGTTGAATTAAGAGGCATCTGTTTCCATCCAAACACACGCACGCACGCACGCACGCACGCGTATACATAAACCCAGCGGTCCCCAACCTTTTTTGCACCACGGACCGGTTTATGCCCGACAATATTTTCACGGACCTTTAAGGTGTCACGGATAAATACAACAAAATAAAACTAGTACCGGTACCGAAAAAAAGAAGATTTATTCATAACACACGTGAAAAGACCCAGGAAAACCGAGTTAACGATAAAAATGATAACAAAATAACGCTGAAAATCGATAAAAACCATACATTTCACACCTGAGCCTCAACTCTCGCGGCCCGGTACCAAACGACTCACGGACCGGTACCGGTCCAAGGCCCGGGGGTTGGGGACCGCTGCATAAACCCACTGGCCTTACCAGCTTGGCTTTTTTTTCCTTCTTCCTAGTGTTGTGTGCCCAGGGTCTACAAGCCAAGGATAAAACTGGTTCCAGTGATCCGTATGTAACCGTCCAGGTTGGAAAGACGAAAAAGAGGACCAAGACCATCTATGGCAACCTCAACCCCGTCTGGGAGGAGACATTTAATTTGTGAGTCATTGGCTTTTTTGTATGGTTACTGTTAATTAACCTCCTAAGACCCAAACTCTTTTAATTTCTCTTTGCTGTTTGGGCTGATTGGGACCTGATAACTCTAAAAACAAAGAATTCTGTGATTTTTTTTATTTATTTTTTTACTTGATTTTTGGTTCTGAGAAAAATGAGATCCACATATATAAAACATTAGTTTTAAATTTCGATAGAGCAGTGGCAGTATAATGTCCTCGTAAGTGAATATCAGGCTCTTGTAGAGCAAAATTTGGGTCTAGACAACCCAAAATGTGATGTCCACATATGTGAACGCCAGATCCTAGGAGGTTAAATAAACAAGGTCTATTTTTAAGGCTGGTGATTTCTGTTTACGCTTGAAGAATATGATACGTACGAGTCACCCTAGTAATCTGCCCTTCTTGTCTAACTGCCAGTTTACCTAGTATATTTGGCTCACTCTCCGGTTTGGTCTTTGCAGTGAATGTCACAACTCTTCAGACCGCATCAAGGTGCGAGTGTGGGATGAAGATGATGACATTAAGTCTCGTGTGAAGCAGAAGTTCAAACGAGAGTCCGACGACTTCCTCGGTCAAACCATCATCGAGGTCCGCACTCTGAGCGGAGAGATGGACGTCTGGTATAATCTGGGTCAGTTGAATTGGCACGACTCCTCTTTCTCCGTACACTGCCCCGTTTAATATACTGGATCTCATCACCCATCATTTCTTTCCAACGCAGACCTGGTGACTGTGTTTCTGTGTGTTTTGCGCTCTTCACAGACAAACGTACTGACAAATCCGCTGTGTCTGGGGCCATCCGCATGCACATAAGTGTAGAGATCAAAGGCGAGGAAACGGTTGCTCCGTATCACGTTCAGTACACCTGTCTGCACGAGGTAAACTCGCTTTTTATCTGTGAGTGAACATGCATTTAAAGAGGGTGAATGCTTCTCAACCGCTTTGTTTTTAGAAGGGCGCATTTTGTCAGATTATCCTTCGTCCGCCGTTTGTGCATCTTAGAAAAATATCGTTTTTTTCCACATAACGGGCTGCCTAAAAATGTCAACTAATTTTAGCAGGTAAGGCATGACGTTCACACTGACTGTTTTCTGCACATAGTCGTGTCTGCGGTGTAAAGAGACAGCAGTCGTTTAAATGCGAGTCAAAATGAACCGCTTCTCTTTATTTGCTATGTGCTGACTGAAACCGTTACGCTAGGTTTATAGGAATCTTTGACAAACAAAATTAGCTTTTGTTATAAGTGTGTAATGTTGTTTTCGCGGCCTGCGTTTATGAATATGTGTGTGTGAAGCTGTCTTAAATGAGCCAAGCTAAACTAGTTAATTTGCTTGACTGATGTTCACTTTCATAACTGACCCATTAAACTTGAGTTAGTACTCTGGATGAAGGTAAAGATAGAGGCATCACACACATGTTTCTGCTCTGGGTTCGTGCAGAAAATTCTGCTGATTGATTGTAGACCAGTCCCAACTTTGTATGGAGTCATTACTCAGTCCATTACTCACAGCACATTAGCTGACCTTAACTGACAAATGGGCACTGTTACTGCCTCTCAAGTGCCCATAAACCCACTCAGATTATTTTACAGTGGTGTAAGGTTTTATGGATGAGACAGCACCTTGTGTTGGCCTCATTATGTGGGTTTATGGCTCTTTATGCAGCAGAGCCAACAGACACAACAGCTTGTGAGGTTATAGCGCGCTCTGTCTTAATGGCTGAACTGTTTACAAACGAGTGATAACTGTTTGAATTTTTTCAAGCCTTTTTTCTCTTTTATTTCACTCACGCCGCCTTCTGCTTTCTTTTCCTTAGAATCTCTTCCATTATGTGACGGACATCCAGAATAATGGTGTGGTGAAGATTCCTGACGCCAAAGGGGATGATGCATGGAAAGTGTACTTTGAGGAAACTCCCCAGGAAATCGTAGATGAGTTTGCCATGCGTTATGGAGTCGAGTCCATCTACCAGGCTATGACGTAGGTTCCCGGCTGACTGCCCGACTCCAGAACGTCACCGTTAATAAGAAAGACCCATGTGTTCAGGCGCATCGTAGATTGTTTAGATAAAAATCTAACATTTGCCTGTCCTCCTCTCATTTGCAGCCATTTTGCCTGCTTGTCATCTAAGTACATGTGCCCAGGTGTGCCTGCAGTGATGAGTACCCTGCTGGCAAACATCAATGCCTACTACGCCCACACCACCCAGGCAACCAACAATGTCTCTGCCTCTGACCGCTTTGCTGCTTCTAATTTTGGGGTGAGTCAACATTTAGCTGGATCGATAAAGTTAGATGTCATACTTTTATTAATTAAATAGTTTTATATACTAATTTTCCCCTAACTCTCGCAATGGCATAGTTTCTCTGTTATTTCCCTTTGTCGTGTCCTCTTTATCTTCATTATGTTTAATCACAGAATCTATTAGCACATTTCTTTTATTACCCACAGAAAGAGCGATTTGTCAAGCTCCTCGATCAGCTTCATAACTCTCTGAGGATCGACCTGTCCATGTACCGGGTAAGTTACTCTTTTATAATTTCTTCTGGCTTATAACTAATGATTCTCTGCGTCCTTGCACGTCTCTCTTTATCAGAAGCAATTTGAGGAGGCAAATGTGTTAATTAGATTGACAGCTCATCGGAAACGTGCACAGACACGTTGGGGAAACCATGTACGCCCACACAGTCAGAACAGGGCTTGCTTCCAGTGAAGATTGACCATGCTGGATCGTGCCCAAAGATGCAAAAAACTGGACAAGCACAGATGTGAATTCATGTACTGTGGCTCGCCGTTTCTGATTTCTTTCCTTTTTTTGGCCCGATTGCAGAACAACTTCCCGGCCAGCAGTCCTGAGAGACTGCAGGACCTCAAGTCCACAGTGGATCTGCTCACCAGTATAACCTTCTTCAGAATGAAGGTATAGTCTCTTTCTCTTCCATTTTTATCCTAAAGCTTGGTGCTGAGTTGGATTTAAGGCTTTTCTTCAGAAGCAGAAATGGAGAGAATTCTGCAAACCAACTCTGCTTTCTTCAAATCGTCTATTTAAGCTGCAGAATATCCCATTTTTCCCCCTGACGTGTCAGTGCTGCTGCCCTGCATCACTGCCTGATCTTTCAGCTCTCCCACCTCCCGCATGAAGGCTCCAGGGAGATTTTTATTTTCACTACTCCAGTCTTCTATGTTGCATATTTGGGAGAGCACTGTTGCCTAACTTTAACTATATTCTGCAGCTGTAATAAATTCATCATTTCAAATGTGAGCTCAAATGAATGATCCAGTCACTGCATGTCTGATTTTTGTGCCTGTGTTTAGGTCCAAGAGCTCCAGTCGCCACCCAGAGCCAGTCAGGTAGTGAAGGACTGTGTCAAAGCCTGTCTCAACTCCACCTATGAATACATCTTTAATAACTGCCATGAGCTCTACAGTCGCGAGTATCAGGCAGACCCGGTAAGAAGCAGCAGTGATGGGCTGAATGTCTGCGTGTGTGTGTGTCAGTGAATGTTTTTCTTTTTCCATCTTTGTCAAAAAAATCAACTTTGAATTGATATTTTTTGGCATAAACATAATAAAGTACAAAAAAGTAAAGCCTTGTTAGCACACCATGCATGCGTACATGTACTGGACTTCAGAACATACAGAATCAAACAGTTAGAAAAGTGCAGATGTTCATGTGTGATGGTGATGGTATCTGCATTTGTTAATTTTTTATTTACTTAAAGGTACATCAACAGTCTTCTATAATTTGCTTACGGCAAATTATAGAAAAAAAAGTGCTGAATTATGATTTGTTTATTTAGTTTATTTGTTTAGTCCATTTTTTCCTTGGTTCTTGTTTGGTTTTGGACAAACTTGATCTGTTTTTAGTTTATATCGTTCTGAGCTTCTGGTCGTTACCAAGCAAAACACATAAACTTGGTATATTTCATTCAGTGGCAAAAGGCATTGAGGTTTCCTTTGGAATTTTTGCTGTAGATTTCCAGTGACTGATGATCGTTTTGCTTACATTTAACTTCTGTCCGGTTCAGTTTCCCTTAAGCAAAATGCCGGGAATAATGACAGCCCAACCACAATCTCAGCGCCTTCACACCTGCACCATTAAGTCTGCTTAAATTGAATTCTGGTTCATTTTCCGTCTTGGTGCGGTTCGCTTCTGCAGACACGAGCAGGGTAATTGCACTTGCAGTGGATCTACCACAGACGCATTCGAGGAGGCGGTCTCGATCCAGTTCCAAATGAACTTCAGACTGATTCGTTTATGGTGGGAATATGATCTGACCCAACCACTGAATATATGCTGGGCGTTTGCCTTCTGATAGCCAGGCATGCTTTGCTTCCTGGGATGTAGCAGAGTACCATAAGCCTGCAGAGTACACAAACTTTAAAGAATTGGAAGACGTGACATTGCAAAGTTATCCTGTAGCTCAGAATACTGCGTCTTCTACCTGCTTTTGCTATTGTTCCTCTTGCACATCTGGCCAACAAGCAGACTGAACTTTCTCATGCGGTTTGTATAAAAAAGACACGTTTTGCTTCGTTTGGAGTTTTCTTTATGTGAAAACAAAGTAAAATCAAACCAGGGGAAAAAGCTTAAAGTTTTAGAAACTCATCAGCTGATTGAATTACAGGTGGAAGTACAACTTTAGTGATCAAAATCAGCGGTTTTACCCAGAAGTCATCACTACAAAGAGAATAATATTTACATTTTTACATTTCTAATACAGAAAGGATTTCAGTTTTGTCCTCATTCCATATGTAGACACTTGTGTGTTGTTGGTTTGTATGCGTGTGTGTGTGTGTGTGCGCGGTAAGTCCGTGTCTTAGTCTGGTGAAGCCAGGCTCTTCCATCCGTCACTCCTGTAGCCGATTCCAACAGCGATTTCTAGAACTTGCTTTGAGCCCTCATTAAAGCACCAAGCCCAATTCTGACTTCCCCGTGAATTTCAAATAAGCATTTTTTTCTCTTTGAATAAAACATTTCGTCCTGAGGGACTTTGCTATATTTTGTTGAAATCTCTGCAAGATCATTCTTCACTCTTCAAACCCTGCAGCAGCCAGCTCAGTGTTTTGTTTTGTTTTTTCTCAGCACATCTTCAGCTGTTTCAAAGAAGTCGACCAGACAGTTGACATTCGCAGTCTGTTTAAAGCTGTTTGAGCAGCAAGTGTTTAATATGTATGAGTTGTTGAGTTAACAACGCAGTCGAGATTTCCCTCCAAAAACGTCTCCCCGTTGCAGACGACAGAAATATTATTGGTAAAATTCACATTAAGATTACACAATTACACGACTCTGGACATCCTGTTGTACGGCTTTAAAAACCGTTTCACTGATCAAAATTCACTTATGTGCAGATTTTTCAGCCAAAAGGGGCAATAATAGCAGGTAAACCTCAGAAAGCCATTGTCATGAGTCATTATAACGCCACTCATGTTGTTGCTTTCCCAGGCCAAGCAGGGTGCTGTGCCCCCAGAGGAGCAAGGACCCAGCATCAAAAACCTCGACTTCTGGTCCAAGTTTATCACACTTATCGTCTCAATCATTGAGGAAGACAAGAACTCTTACACTCCTTGCCTAAATCAGTATGTCTCTAAGTTTTCTACACGGCCGTTCTACCTTTGTGTTTGCTTTGTTTCCTTGTACAAATTTAAACAGAATGGGTTTAATGACATTTTAATGTTATGTAGTTATCCACAGTTTCTCATAGTGCCATTAAAACTGCACTCTGAGGCTCTCGTCAGCTTTCCCGGTTACATGTTCTCCTTCTGCATCCAGATTCCCTCAGGAGCTCAATGTGGGTAAAATCAGCGCGGAAGTTATGTGGAACTTATTTGCTCAGGATATGAAGTATGCAATGGAAGGTGAGTAAAAACCGATAATACAGTTAGTATTGTGCTGTAGTCTTAAAAGTAGCGAGCATACAAAAACACAGAAAAGAAAAGAATCCAGTTAATATTCAGAGAATTTAATTAAACGTCTGTGCTTTTGTTTAACTATCGGCTGCTGGTAGTTCAGCTCACTGGTTATTGGCCATAGCTGGACTCCCACTCAGTATATACAAATGGATATTAAAAAGCCAGCTATTATATTAAACTCTCTTGAATGTTGAAGTTGAAGTTTTGTTTTTGTATTAGCAATAAAATGATCCAGTTATTCTACTCGTGGCTATCTACATCCTCCAAAAACCAAAAAACATTTTAATCATTAAAACACATACGCGCGCACACACACACACACACACACACACACTGAATGTGTGCTCCATGACAAGCAGCTGTTCTTGCTGACTAACTGCCTGCCTGATTTAAATCTTCCAGTACCGCTGCTGAGAGCAAAGATCTCATTTTTTTCAAACAATGAAGCAAAATATATTAATTTTGGTAGATCTTGTGATATGCATATTCTGATTTCTAGCATGCATATTTTTTATCTGATATTTTAAAAAAGTATTTATGCATAAAAATAAAGTTTCTGATAAGACAAAAAGAGGATTTGGCTCTATCCAAGCATGACTGGAATCATGTTTGTGTATTTTAAAACTATTTATTCTGTAAAGTGTCAGTTTTTCAGTTTCTCTGTGCATAACAGACCTGCAGGAAATGCTGGCCGCCTAAACAGTCCTGGAAATACGTGTTTTCTCCTTTTCACAGAGCATGAAAAAAACCGCCTGTGCAAGAGTGCAGATTACATGAACCTGCACTTCAAGGTCAAGTGGCTGTACAACGAGTACTGCAAGGACCTGCCCTTCTTCAAGAGCAGAGTGCCTGAATATCCTGCGTGAGTAGCATCTTGTTTTGTAGAAACAGACGCATCCGGTGAAAAAGAATTATAGAATATATTTTTGAAATGCTCGAATTTAGTTTGCAAATATCTAAATTGTTGCTCCCCGTAGGTGGTTTGAGCCATTTGTCATCCAGTGGCTGGATGAAAACGAAGAAGTGTCTCGTGACTTTCTGCACGGTGCTTTGGAAAGAGACAAAAAAGATGGGGTAAACGTTTCCAGCTCCCTTCCTCCTTATCTCTCCTTCAGCCCTCTTGAAGCGCTGAGTCGCTGTTGTTATTCAAGCAGAATTATTGTAATCCATCCTTTGTACTTCCTCTGCCACACTCAGAGTTATCATCCAAAGTTTCTTCCCCACTCCCGCCCCGCCTCCCACACGTTCTCCTGTCTCCCCTGCATTCTTCAAAGACTGAAATAGAAAGCATGGACTCAGCAGTGCAGATTCTTGGGAAGTTTTCAAAAAGAGTGCCCGTGACTTGCATATGCTTAAAGCCAAAGATGATTCTGTTACAGCAGGACATTGTAAATTAATGGCCTTATTCCAAAGGTTTGACTGCAGAAAAGCTGTCCTCAACTCATTACCCTGACTCCCTGGAGTAGCACCTACTCACCTCTAGCCAATTAAGGACCAGGCGGTAACCAGCAGCCAATTACAAGGAGACAGACAGGAGCTCCCACCTGTCACTGGATGGCTGTCTAACTGTCTGTACGGCTGGCTCTGAGAGGTCAGAGTCTCTGTACAGGCAGTGAAATATATCAAAGGTCCAGTTTAATAACGCATCTAATGGTCTGTCTGTATGGTCTTAGACAGGCACACAATCTCACCTGCAACCTTACTCATCCCCTTCTTGTGACTTTTTCTCCTTTAATTTTCCCCAGTTTTTAATCTTCCCGCGTATCTTTTCTGCCCTGCAGTTCCAGGTCACATCGGAGCATGCTCTGTTCTCCTGTTCGGTTGTGGATGTCTTTTCCCAGCTCAACCAGAGCTTTGAGATCATCAGGAAGTTAGAGTGCCCAGATCCGCAGATTGTAGGACACTACATGAAGCGCTTCGCCAAGGTAGGTGCAGTGAAAATGTCATTTGCAGGTTACAAAATAAAAATGCAAGACCGAGGTCTTCAATTTTTTTTCTGTACATGTTACAACATTTTTTATAATAACAGTAATAATAATAAGAACTTGGATTTGCATAGCGCCCTTTAAGAAACCCAAGGACACTTTACACAAGAGCAGAAAAAAAATATTTCCTTTGTTGTTTTCTTCTCCAGACCATCAGCAATGTGCTTCTGTCCTATGCTGACATCATCTCAAAGCTGTTTGCCAACTATGTCACCATGGAGAAAGTGGTGAGTGGCCAAAGACATAATGACCCAATGTGGTTTTTCCACAGATCTCATTTTATTCTGTTTGCCAAAAACCGAAAGCCAACTTTTGGAATAAACATAAAAACATGCGCATGTGTCCGCTTCTTTTTAGCCCTGCATCCTGATCAACAACATCCAGCAGCTGAGGGTGCAGCTGGAGAAGATGTTTGAAGCCATGGGTGGAAAAGATGTGAGCGACTCTTCTCCACTCGCAAACAGCCAAAACTTCGACTGTTTAATTATTCAGACATAGTTCCTAATGCTAGTATATCAGCCATGTGTTATTATTATCCTATCACACAGCCGCCAGTCAACCCAAACAGCTGAGTGAGTTTGTGTGTTTTTATTGTGGTATTTTAGCTGTGTGTTGAAGCTAGTGATATCCTGAAGGACCTGCAAGTCAAACTCAACAATGTCATGGATGATCTCAGCAGGGTCTTTGCTGTCAGGTGGGAACACGCTCACACATATTCATATCCAAATGAACGCTACAGATGCAGTCTCTTAAACCTTCTCCCTTTCATCCTCTGTAGTTTCCAGCCTCATATTGAGGAAAATGTTAAGCAGATGGGAGACATCTTGGCTCAGGTTAAGGGAACCTCAAATGTGGGAAATGCCAGCAGCGTGGCCCAGGACGCTGACAATGTCCTGCAGCCAATCATGGAGTTCCTGGACAGCAAGTGAGCCAATCTTTAGCTTAAAATGATTCCCTATTTGGAAGCAAGTTTCTTCTGACTGACTGCCTGATTGACTTGCAGATAGAAGGTTTGAACAGTAGGTGGGTAGGGTAACGATGCTCGTGGCTAGAGCTGGAGATATTCCTGCACAATAACATAATCAAGATGAAAGAGTAGAAAAAAACTGACCTTTAAAACACTCTGGAGACTGAGCTTTCATCTTTCAGGGATTACCAGTGAATACACTGATGTGATTGTTTGAATCTTTGGCTTTGTTGGTTGTGGTTATACGATATATGGATAAAATTATTAGTCCGTATTTTTTAATCTTTGAATTTGGGTGTTTTCAGTCCCATTCCCACAGGTGTACAGTGTACAATCCATCACCTAGCCGTGCACGCTGTCTTTACAAACATTTATGAATTAACGGTTTCTAAGAGTTCACTGAATTTAACTGTGGTGCAATAATAGGATGCCACAACCACCCTTGTTTTTGTAGGAATGACTTGGAAACGTTATTTGCCTGTGAATGAATGAAAAATATTGAAATTTCCCCAAATTTTCTGCTTTTCTGAGCGTTTTTTCCCTCATGAAGGTATTTCTCTTTTTCATATTACCTCTTTTTCTTTTGATGATCCGATTTTTCTTCAGGTAGACTGTGTCTTTTCCCCTCTGCTGCTTAATACTTACGTCTCTTTCTTACTTGTGTCTCTCCCTCCTCCTGCCAGCCTGACTTTGTTTGCTAAGATCTGTGAAAAGACTGTGCTGAAACGTGTGTTGAAGGAGCTGTGGAAGCTGGTGATGAACACCATGGAGAAGACCATCGTTCTGCCACCGCTCACAGACCAAACGGTAAGAGCGCATAGAAGTATAAATGCACAAAAGAACATACAAACACACAAAATAGACATATTTAGAGATGTTTTCTTGGCTAATTTGTGTAGACGAAAGAGACATGTACACATATCCATCGCTATCATCTCTTTACAAAATGTTTAATGATTATTTGAAGTCCTTGCGGATGTTTATAGCAACATAAATGAAGATATTACATGTTCATATGGTGACCCCTGCAGTATATAAGGCCTACACGTGCACAAGTATGTTCTACTTACACCTGTTACTGCCAAGGCAACATCAAAGGACAGAAAGAAAGAAGAAGGAGGTGGAGAACGAGAGAAGGGAAAACAAATGCAGACATTTTGTGTGGCCCATGCCTAAGCAAAAGATCAAACAGTTTTTGCATCACATCTACATCCTACCCTCTGCTCACCCCCCCTACACGCAGTATATGCAGCATTGCCCTGCAGGTGCCTTCGTTCATCCAAACAATCCAGACGAAACCCTTAAAAAGCTAAAGAAAAAAAAGGACTGCACCATATCATTCCTGCACCAGCTCATGGCTGCTCTCCAGTATGTCAGTTGTTTGGAGAGATTCCTGATTTATGAGTAACTCACATCAGAGTTGCATAAAAATGTTAGCCTAAAGGATCCGACCCACTTCTGAAAAGAATGATACATTTTGGAAAGCAGCCGCTCTTCTTTTGTTTGTTTTTGGTATATGTGTTATTTCTGTTTGGTTATTAACTAAAGAGCCTCATATCACTGATAATAAAGTGATAATCTGTGGTTACTGTGACCTTCAGTCACAGGACGCAGAGTTTAATGTGCGCCAAAGCTGCACGATCACACCCACAGCGACACTCTTCATGTGGAGCTGCTGAAAGTTAAACCTCGTATTTGCTTTATGAGCAAAGACATGATGCTGTAACGAGTTAGCTTAGGTGTTATGGCTGCCTGCTCAGTTCTCTACCTGTGCTTAGTCCAGGCTCTAAACAGGTGTCAGTTGCTCCACGTCCCTCCAGGCCTGGGGCCCAAACTTGTGATTTTGATTGATGTGGGGCTCTTTGCAGCTTGACTGACCCTTCTCTCTGGTTGTTGTTGTTGTGATTACTATTACATCCTGCTCCCACCGCTCTCCCTCCACAGATGATTGTAAGTACAGCACTCCTGTGTGTTTGTCTGTCTGTCAGTCCACGGTGGTCAATTTCTCTGCTATATGTGGCTGCGATCTTCCCCTGTTTTTACCCCACATCACACCGTCTGCCTTCTCACGACCTCACCTCTTTGATCTGTCTCATGTCTCCTCTTTTCTCTTCTCTCCTCCAAGTCTGTCTCTCATTTGAGAAGACAGGAGCATGGTGCATTCCTAACTAGTTCTGATAGGTCCCACCCCACCCCTCAGCAATCTTCACCGATTAGCCCCCTCTCCCTTTTCTGCTGTCTCTTCTTCATGAACGCTCTCCTCAAACAGGAAATGGTACTCCTCTCCTCTGTTGTGCCTGGGTTTGGCTTGTTTCTTCTCATGCATTGCGCCCTTTTATGGGGACCCCGGTGAGGTGACTGATCTCTCGGTAGCTTGGTATCTACTGTCCCGACCAAACTCCAGCACCCCTTTTCCTCTCACCCCACTGTCCCCACCTTTCCTACCTGTTTGAACTGTGTCCTGCCTTCCTACCCCCTACTGTGGGTTTGTTGCTTGCATCTGATCTATTTCAACACTGCAGTCTTCTCTCAGTATCCTGTACGACACTGTAGTGCACTGTATGTCTCTGCGGACCTGTCCTGTTGGTCTCTTCTGGTTTGGTTTCGTGTTCTGTTGTTGCTATAATTACTGTCATTGTGTTTTTATAAATAGACTCGATGCTTTTTCTTGGGTTTAGGTTGTGCAAACGAGGTACACGGTTTGTTTTCTTAATATCTTAGGACCAAATATTTCACTTTCTGATGCTGACAGCCTAAAGATGTATGAAAACATTTACTTTAATGTCAAGTTATTCATTCTGATCTCTGGTAACTTCCAATAAATTATTTAAGAGAAGCTGGTTTAACATCATAAAGATGCAGACTCTAAAATTGTTCTTTGGATGGAAGTTACTGCACAGAGCTTTAATGCTGCATAATTATTGAAAATATTATCTTTCAGTGATTCCACTAAGAAACTGGTAAAACTATCGGCCTGCCATCACACCTAAAACTCACTAGCACCATCCTGTTTAATTTGTGCATAAATCTAAATATTGTAAAACGATTTCTTTCATGATAACTCCAATTTTAGTCTTGTTCACGTGACTGAGCGTCCTGTATTTTTCATGCAGGTAAAATGTTCGTGTGCTGTGATTGATAGCCAGAAAATGAATTTCTTATTGAGCAGTAAAGAGAGTATGCATATGTTTCCCCTAGGTAAAATTTTTATTTTAACTTTGACCAAGATGTTATATTACATGTCTTTAATGGAAACTGTTACGTGCTAAGATACATTTAGATTTTTCCTTTTTTCATGCTTCCTGGCACTGTTTTTGCTTTGGATTGCATGCAAACAGGTTACGAGTGGCCTGGCTGAAATATCAGACCACATGCAAACAATATCTCTGCAATGATCATAAGTGAACAGAGTGCAGTCAAAGCATTTACTCTCATAATGTTGGATTGGCAATCGATCAAAAAAAGAAATGAACTGAAAAAACCGACGAGGGTTTTTCCAACATTCGTTAACATTTTTAAAGCAACGTCTGAGCTTTTGATTGCACGCTCTTATGCAGCCAGTGAGCGTGAAGTCAGACAGCAGGGACTGGCCACTGCTTGAAGTATTAACCACATGCTCTCTTTCCAGGGGAGGCTGAAGAGTGCTTCTCACAGCGATGTAAGGACTAAACCCCTTTAGATCAATGTGTCTTGTCTCTCTCCTCCACGTCTTCTCTCCATGTCTATGTCTCTCTCCCTCAGCTCCCAGTCAAACAAAGCAGTGGAAATATTGTTTTTTTTTCACTATCTACATAGTGCTTTTTATAGTGTGCTGTAAACATACCTCTATTGGATGTAGACATTTGTGACTTAAACACAGAAAGTCAGTGTGTTCAGCAGTCACTTAATTTGACTCAGACCTGGCTGGCTATGTGCAAAAAAACAAAAAGACAACAGAGTGTGGTTTAGCTTCACAGCCAAATCAAAGGGAAGCCAAGCTTGCAGGGTAAAAAAGTATATTCATCACAGCAGCCCCTGCAACCAAAGGCACATCTATCTGCACGACTGACAGTTTAGCTTAGAGTAGCAGTGGAGGGATGCTGGATTATTCTTCCCTGTTGCTTCCCCACAGTTTCAGAAGTGCACTCTGTTATTTGCTAATAAAGCTCTTCCTGAAACTTTTCTGCTATTCTTTTTTTTTATTGCATTATTTGAAAGAATACAAAACTACAGTTGGTTTTGGTAAACTTTCAAAACCGTATTTGTAACCACAGTCAGCAGTACTTAGGATACATCTTCTTACAAGAGTACTGCATTAGGCTGGACCAATAAATACCAGCACACACCACGGTGAAGCTTTATAGCTGCTAAATATGTGTGTGTGTGAGAGAGAGGGAGAGTGAGTGTGTCTGTGTGCATTTGAGTGCACAAATATGTCTATTTTCCTGCCCTTACTACGAGCTGAACCACTTTCCCTTCTCCTTGTAGTGTTTGTGTGTAATGTTTTGGAATGATTAAAAGACAGATAAGTGTGATAACAGCACTTGAAGGAAAATGTACCGTGACACCTGTAAAGCGGTTCAGAGTGACTGTTTATGAATGTGTGTGTCAGAAACGTCGCTGTCCTCTGTGTGACACTAAGCCATTTACCGCCGCCGTTGTTTTGTCCCGATAATAACAGCGCTCCTCTTCTCTCTCTTTCTCTCTGCTTGTCTACCTTTCTTCTGCCTTTCTGTCTCTTCCAGGGCACTCAGCTCATCTTTAACGCTGCCAAGGAGCTCGGACAGCTGTCCAAGCTGAAGGTACAATATGTTTCTGCTACACTTACGCTCTGGGCCCGGCACCAGTGCTTCGGACTGAGTCTCTAATTGCTTAGAAAATATGCGGAAGAGCATATGAGGGGGACATATTGGTCATTTTGCTTTATGCCTCTCCCGCTGGCATCTTTAGGAGCACATGGTTCGTGAGGAGGCCAAAGCGCTAACACCCAAGCAGTGTGCTGTGATAGAGTTGGCTCTCGACACCATCAAGGTAGAGATTCACTTTCATTTTCAGTGATTAAACATTGAATATTCTCTTTATTATCAGTGCAAGCGTTTCAGGAAACAAGAATTCATAAATGTACAGTCTTAAAACCCAGAGTTTGGGACCAGGAAATGAGGGTTTTTTTTATCCCTTTAGGATGAATTAATAAAAGAAAAATAACACATAATTTCACTCCCAAAGCATTTTCCCAAGATAACACAGGCACCCACATAGCACCAAATGTTAAAACGATTGTTTAAAGCTCTACGGGGGCTCTAATTTGCACATCATAGAAGCGTTTTGAATTGTTATCTGCAGTTGTCATTATTGACTGGTTTAGTGTTGGATTCATGTGTGACTGTGGGAATGTCAGGATTCGCTGATGATCACTCTGCTGTGTTTATAATTATTTGTGCCCTTTTATTTCTTCAGTCAGCTGCTGGTCGGAAGATGTTGGTAAAATGTTTTTTTCCCCGCCCTTTTATGTGACAGCAATATTTCCATGCTGGTGGTGTGGGTCTGAAGAAGACATTCCTGGAGAAGAGTCCTGACCTTCAGTCTCTCCACTACGCCCTGTCCCTTTACACGCAGGCCACAGACAAACTCATAAAGACCTTTGTCCAATCGCAGAACGCTCAAGGTAACGTACAAATCTGTCTGTGTCTGAGGGGCTTTGAATTTGCTTTACCTTCCAGTATCTTCAGTTGTTAAGTATGAGCTTAACTACCTACAGCATCTTACATAATTCTCTGAGGAAGGGAAATGTATTCCTTCTTCGCTCACGCTCTCAGAGGAGCCCCTCTCGCTGCCCCCTCTGTTGATGTTAGGGTTTTCCCAAATGCCAAGTTTCTATACGCTCAAAGCATCTCACGTGCCTCGTAGAGCGTAAAATTGAGACTGCAACAGCACAATATTTCTCACTGTCCTGAAATGCTGAGTCTCCTGATAGCGAGCTTCTGGAACTGCAGCCACTATTCTGTAGATGATCTGACAGCTATTTGCAATGAAAAAATAAATACCTACCCACTCTGTTTTCCTTCTCTTTGATGCTGCTGCTCAGCCTCCGTCCTCCTGTCACATAGCTGTGTAACAGCCATCCCGTTTCTGCCATCAGACGCTCACACATAGTCCCCGAGCACTGGTAGAAATGCCTTTTGAGTGGATAATCATTTAAAATTGAATTTTTTAACTAATGCCATGTGGCTTTTGATGTTGCAAGACACAGTTTTTTCACTGCTTATTTGGTAGAAGTAGCTCAATTTCCCCAACAAATCAGGGAAAATGCTTTTTACATGTTGGTCTGTTTTCTACTCTGTAATTGTGAAACTCTCTGCAAACCTCATATTTCTTCGTGTGTCTCCTTTCTCTGTCTACTCCCACCTCCTGCCCCGTCTGTGGGACAGTGTTCGGCGGGAAGGGGGTGAGATTCACCACTAGTGAGGATGTTTACCCAGAAAAGGGTATGTGGCACTCAGGCTAAGGCTCTGAGACACCAAGGACCACCAGAGAGCCTCCAGAACAAAGCCCAGCAACCTCCACCTTTTCACCCACCCCCACCCCCACCCCCCCATGTGCATCCTGAAACTGTCCTGCCTGCTCAGATTCATCCCAACAGACAAATGCAATGCACAGACTGAACACACTCTCTGCCTTTTTGAACACACATACATGCCCACCACCACAGCAAGAATGGTAACTTTATGCATTCATGCATGAAACGTACACACTGATGTCTGTATGTACAGAACTGCGCTGAATACATACGCCGTGGACAGTATGTATGAGCAGACACGACGCATGATGCGCGGACATCAGACAAATATAATAGAAATGCATTAAAGCGTGGAGGAATTCTGATGCAGCATGATGTCACCCAGAGAAGCCAGGGGGCTAAGTGTGTGTGTGTGTGTGTGTGTGTGTGTGTGTGTGTGTGTGTGTGTGTGTGTGTGTGTGTGTGTGTGCACGTGGGAAAGTACGTGACTGAGCAAAGCAATCTGATGAGTCTGTCCTCAGGTTGTAGAAGCAATTATTTATTTCCAGAAATACTGGGAGGAAATCTTTTTTTTTTTACAGTGTCACTGTCCCTCCCACTGTGTTTGAAATGGCAGATGCTTGAAGAGGAAGAGTAGGATTATTATGAAGATGATGATGGCTGTTGGCTTAGTTTGTCTGGGAGGGCTCTCTGTCCTTCCCTACCCTGCGATCGCATCCAAAAGCAGGCAGAGATGGAAACACCCAGTCAGCTTCCACACGCAGCGCCACCTCCCCAAAGCGGTGATGGGAAAGGGTTCTCAGCTCGTCTCCCCTTAACAGATCTAGCCAATCACAAACAGTCCATCGGGTCAGGTGGTCTGATTTCCGTCTCTTTAGATCAGAATAAAAGAGTCTGACTTGCTCTCAGATGCGGTATGTTCATACACGCTCACACAGAGACATATGCATTCTGCTGTTTGTGTGTGCACTTGGCTTCGCCGTTTAATTTGATGCTTCGATGATGATCTGGTGCTGCGCAAGCCCTAGCACCCCGACAGTCATCTCAGATGAGCGGCTCAATATGACATTGTTAACACTGCAGTCTGTTACACGTCAAGTTGTGTCACTTTCCTCTGGAAAGAGACCAAAGATGGAAATGTGCAAGGAAAGAAAAGCATTCAAAGTAGATTTTTATGCAGATTAATGCCTAACTGTGAAAGGTATCCACTACCAACAAACACTAGCAAATGAATTTTGTTGGAATAGTTGAGATTTTTAAGTGTTGCTCTGAACTGGTGTGTTCTCAAGTTTGATTGCCTGACTGAGCTGAATCTCACTTTCTCATCCTTTACCTGTTCAAAATGGTGACACCAGCTTTTTAGTTCTGATGAAGTATGACTGGAAATAATTCAAATGCTCCTTTTTGCAAGTTTTATGGAAAATCATCTATTTGAGATTGAATAAACAAGCAGCAAAGAAGCGTATCTTTCGCCTTCCTGCCAGCTGGTGGATGTCCCTGACTGTAACAAGGAAGCAAATTAACTCCCTGTCAAACAGATTTCACTGAGTAGTTTCTCCAACCATATTAGAGTGGATGATTAGAGCAGGATGAATGACCAAAGCTCAGTGGAATTTACTCGCAGCTGAAAGAGTCTTTGATCAGCGCTGACGGTCGGTCTCGCGTGCTGCTGGCTGTGAGCGCCGATATTTGCGGTTAAAATAATCAACTCATTTGTGAATAAGTGGCAAACTCAGGCGATGCTTTGGCACATTTAAAGTACAATTCTGAGATTTAATATCTATTTTGGTGACGTTTTGCAATATGGTGCAAAATGTGCCTCTGATTGCCGTGTTTGTTAACGAAGAAAGGGGCTGCTTTTTCCTGGCAACATCTTCCTGCCTCCCAGCCAGAAAAGTTTCTTTCTCATCTCTCATGGATGTCCTCTACTGAGTAGACAAGGCCAGATGGATGACTGCTGCTCTCTTTGGTCCTGTTGGCAGTGAAACCAGCAATCCCATAATGCTCCCCTGAGAGATGCAGAGAGCCGCGTGCCAGGAACACTCTGCCGTCTAACTCCCACAGACACCTTGTTTAGTGGGCGGCTGGTTAAAAACACAAACACACAGGCTGCTGGTCGCCGCCACAAAGATACCGTTGACAGAGCGAAGACGCTAATTAAAACACTGAAAATTAATGTCCATCTGTCACTGTATCCTTCTGGAGTTGTACGTGGATATAAACCGCTTGTTCACATGCGGCACAAGGAAAGATCATCATCCTCCCTCCCAGACAAAGGTGTTAGAGCCTGGTGAAAGCCATCTAGACTTGTCATCTTCTTCCTCAGGCAAAAAGTAGAACTCCAAGGACCCCAAACAAGCCCAGGTCTGGCGTAGCGTAGAGATGGAACAGTTAAATGACTTTGATGTTTGATTGAAATGCAATGAAATGACTGATTTTAACCAGGAAACATCTGAGCGGTCAGTTATGAGGGTGTGTGTCGCTCTCGATCCATAAACTTACATTAAATGATGAAAAAACTAAACAAGGAGAAATAAGAGCAATCTCTCTTCAAGAATGGAAATATAGACATTAAAAGGACAAATCTTCTATTCGCTCTTCTTGCAGAAAGCTTTATTAAAGCAGTCAGGCATCAGTAGTGTCATCCTATACCGACGGGCCGGGGAGGCCGAGCTGCTTCTCCCTCCACGTGGTCCCTCCCTCTCTTGGGCCTCCTCTTGACCATGCTTGGGTAAAAGACTTTACCAAGGAATGGGTGTATCCATCTGAGCATGCCCAGACATGATCTGTGTCGGTGGGGGGGGGGGGATCCACACCGTTAGCTGACCTTCTCCAGCTTCTCTCCTGTCTTCTTCTCTGCCTCTTACTAACCACCCTGCATCCTAACAGACACTTTGCATCTATGAGTGGGCAACAGTTACCACAGTGATTGCCTCTCAGTCGCTCAGGTTTAATCATAACGTAGAATGCATTACCAAAGGAGATAATACAGCTATTGCAGGCTTATTGTTATTATTATACACTACCGGTATTAAACACGTATGCCCACTCATAGCTGCTTTGTCTGAATGTCCACTTCCAGACCACAACATATGCACAAGCAGAACTCTGTGCTTTATTTTAAACGCTATTATTTTGTAAAGAAACATTTGAATAGTCAGTACTCTGCTTTATATTCACCGGATTATAACTGAGTCCATTTCGTTGTTTCTTTTGTGAAACTGAAATGGAAGTGTAACTTTTTTAAAATTAAATTATGGAGGAGAATTCGAAATAGAGGGCACAGCGGCTGCGACATTAGCACAGTGGAGATTGGGAGACTCGAGGGTATTAATGGCACTTTTACTCTTTGTCCTGTCCCGTCAGGCTCTGGGGTGGACGATGCTGTAGGAGAAGTGTCCATCCATGTGGAGATTTTCACTCACCCGAACACCGGAGAGCACAAAGTCACAGTGAAAGGTGAGCAAAAATATTTTGTATCTTTGTTGTTTTCACATTTATTGGGACTGAATCTGAGGGTATTTCTGGAAATAACATTCAAGTCATAGTTTAACATTTAAACATTGCTAGACCCCGCAGGAAGGACTGTATGGCCATAACAGGGCACCAGAATATAGCTCTAGCTTTCATCTGCCATAGAAAAATATGATTTTGTAATGAATACTCTTCCAATTCTATTTTCATTATCTTGACCATAAACTGAATGTGAGGCCTGAGGGAGAGCCAGTATTGTCTGAGTTTCCTGTTCACTCGCCCTCGCTCACCGCTCCACTTTTTCACACATTTTCTCCACACGAATCTCACAGTCACCCACACCTTCCCGCTCTCTTTCCTTCCTTTAGCTCTGTCTTTCTGTCTGTTTCAGTGGTCGCTGCAAATGACCTGAGGTGGCAGACGCAGGGAATATTCCGGCCTTTTGTGGAGGTCTATATCATCGGCCCTCACCTCAGTGACAAAAAGAGGAAGTACGCCACGAAGTCAAAGAACAACAGCTGGGCTCCCAAATACAACGAGACCTTCACTTTGTAAGTGGTTGATGTGCATCGATGATTTGAGGGATTGTTTCGAGATTGTTTTGTAATATTCTCCATCGCCCCACTCTGCAGCACCCTGAGTAATGAGGTGGGTCCTGAGTGCTACGAGCTGCAGGTGTGCGTGAAGGACTACTGCTTTGCTCGAGAGGACCGCACCGTGGGCATGGCTGTCCTTCAGCTGAAGGACGTGGCCCCTAAGGGCAGCGCCGCCTGCTGGCTGCCGCTGGGTAAACGCATCCACATGGATGAGACGGGACTGACCGTCCTGCGCATCCTCTCCCAGCGCAACAACGACGACGTGGCCAAGGAGTTCGTCAAGCTCAAGTCCGACCAGCGCTCTGCTGAGGAGGGCCGTAGCTAGGGGGCCAAATCGCAGTTTAAAATGCCACGTCAGGAACTCGAATCTGCCCAGGAGCTCTCCTGAGCCACTGCAAGCCACTGCCCCGATTATCCAGTGTTGTAAAAGCACACATAAGACAAGAGTCGCCACACATACTGTAAATACATTTATTTCAGTGGAAATGACAGAGTGCGAAGCAAAGCATCACTCGTTTTCTGAAAACGCACCAGTGTCTTTATTGTTACTGACTTCATCAAACATGTTTTTGATTCAGTTATACATAGAGTTTAATCTTAGAGCATATAACTACTTTCCTCTAATCCCAGAGGAGAGCCATGCCATCCCACGCACACACGCACACCTCACTTGACTGGTCAGAGTGAGAAATATCTTGTAGCCTTTAATATTTTGGCTTTCTTTCTCACTCTTTCTCTGCCTTTTTAACCTTACCCTCAACTTTACCGATCCCCAGCTCCTCTCGTCCCTTCCCTAGTTTGCAACCACTTAGAGAAGGGACCGCAAGTGCCAACAAGGAATTGCTCAAATATGCCAAGACCAGCCCTAAGCACAACCGGACCAACTGTCCACTTGACCCGTAAACAACTACAACGGCTGCAGCCTCAAACATTCCAGATATTGGGTGGGGAAGACATACAGGGAACAAAGCACTATTTAGTTATGATGAGTTTAATATTTATTTACTTTTTTCTTCCAGATTATATCTATATTTTAATAATTCTATATATCATCACATATATATATATATAAACTATTAAGGACATATGTAAAGATAAATACAGGATTGTTCGATGGAACTGTGGTCGGCTAAAGATTGTCCTCGTCCGTCTCTCTGTCCGTCTACCCTGTAACAGAGCACACTGCCTGACACCCTTAATGCCTTCCGTCTTGTTAACCCTTGCACATTATGTATGTTCTGTTTCCTATATGATAGAGAGCGGAGCCTGGTGATCAAGCGCTGTAAATCATCGGACTGTATGTGTGTGAAAATGAGTGTGTGAATGTGCGATACAGTGTTTGTAATACGTTCTAATGTCAACCTCGTGTGACCGCCCGTGTTGTCTGTCACCTGCAGATGTAATCACTGAAAGCCATCACAAGTGAAGGACGTCACAACGGGTGGAGCGGGAGTGCGATAAGATTCGGGGGATTTTTATTGTTTCGTTCAGTTTGTTTAATTTAGCACAGACCAAGGTTATATTGTGCGGTGGATATTTCCATCTGGTTTACTGCAAACATTCCTCAGCCAGGCAGCTCTGTAAGGACAGTCAACTGCCTTTAAAAAGTGCGTGCTAATTAAAGTCCTACATGTATAATTAGATGATTAAAAACACAGTCCCTGAGAAGCTAAAATAACCACGTGGGTTACACAGCAGCACATTCCCCAACACGGGGAGAGCACATACCGCTAATGATCCAGCGCTTATCGCGTCTAATGATCCACCTGCAGATGCCGTAACCCTTGAGTGAGAAACGAGACCTCTGCTAAAGGGCTGCAGATCCAGACCGAGCCAGGTCTGGATGTGACATTTAAAAGAGGGCCTACTGTCCACAGTACAGAGATGTAGTGTGAAAATAGAAGAAGCACAGGGGCTTTGCTACACATAAAAACACATTTATACTCTGAGCTTGTTTTACAGCAGTTCACCTGAAGCTACGGTCACTTTCATGTGAAACTAAATGTTTTAAAACGACTGCTCGCTGTCTAACATGTCTCTCAATGCGACATCTATTTTTAAGAAAATACCCTTTAAAAAAAAGAATATATTTGTTGTTTTCTCGTGAACAAAAAAAATCATGGGGGTGATGATAATAACAGGATGATCGGTTGGTTGGATGTTTTTCTGCCTCATTACTAAGATGCCCCCTCCCAAACCTGAATAATATCAAAGTCCCCATTATTAGAACAAGGCCTACAAACTGAACTCTATGCATCTGATCTATAAAGTCTCTGTAGATGAGTGATTTGGAATCAGTCTTATAATGTTTACATTGTGGATTATTATTCTAATTATATCAGCACAAGCGTTTGTCTGATATGTTGTAAATGCCGTCTCTGTTTCGATGGGCCAAACATCACAGCTGCGGTAGAGCTGACCAGAGACGGGAAGTTTGGTCAGCTCAGAGGAAACCGATCGGGAGGGAGATCGATCGCTGCGGTCGGGTAGTTGTAAATAGCTCGGATGTAACAAACACGTCATACTATGTGAAGTGAAGTTTCGCTGCTCTTTTGTAGACTTGAATTTTGCTGCGAGTGACTGCACAGCTGGTGTTTATGTGCGACTGGGTGCCCAATCTGGAAATGTAGCTACTATTGAAGGGTATAGAAAGACCGCGTGCACTCTAGAGATCAATAACAGAGCGTCTGTATTACTTTAATGGGGCCTGATCAGGAGCCATTCAAAGTAATGCATCGTATATCATTATATATAACATGCTGCCTGCTAGTGAAAACTACTCAGCTCTAAGTTTTGCGCTCTCTTTTTATGTTCTTTTGTGTGTGTACAAGGTCTTTTATTAAGAGGGCACATCTACTTTTAATAGCAAAATCAATAACAGGTACGCAGCTGGAAATGCCACGAAAGAAAACAAAAACTTTATTGCTGTTGACAATGATACTTTAGGAGAGGAAATTCTTCCCCTTCCTCCACCTTCAGAGGCCCGGACTGCGTGTTGGATTATCAGGTTGGCACGTTGAACAGGAACGCACACACAGAGGTGGATGAAGCACAACGAAAAGCACACAGACACAAGTGGACACACATGCATGATCCGTCCTGAAGTGTCTCGCTGAGCAGGCCACACAGACAGATACCTGCACAGCGCTGCTGGTCCGGTACTTCCAGATACGGTGCATGATAGGAACAATAAACAAAAAGTAAAAAAACGTGTATTGTGCCAGCACGCATAATTATTTGATGTTTAACTGCCAATTGTTGTCTTCTTTATTTTGATATTTAATTATCGTTTTCTATTTTTCAAATGTTTGTGAATATATAAATATGTATTACTGATGCTGTGTAGTGGTACAAAGTACTCGCATGAGAATTTTTTTATACACGAGATGTTTCTAAAGATTCTTTCTTTTGGGCTTGTTTTTTATTATTATTATTATTATGGTTGTTCTTATTGGGGGTTGAGGTTGCTGGGACTGCAGTCTCGTTGTGTTTCTGCTTCCAATAAAATATGAAATAAAAGCTCATGGTCATTCTTTGTCAAACTGTTCAAAGGAATAGCCACATTTAGTTTTATTTAGTTATATTGATTTCATTTTATCCAGGTCTTTACCACGTGCTCTCTTTCATGCCATTTTAGCTATTTTTCCGAGACGTACCTTTCTGAAATAACTCGCAACCTTCTATAAGATGCAGACTACACCGATGACAGCCTAATTAAACAAGTGAATGCACATTTTAAAAGTCTGAAAGGAGAAATTCTCAGTAAGTCATTTCAATTTCCAAGGAATAACTTCAGCAAGTTAGGAGTTAAATTCACTGGAGCATTAATAAATTTGCATCCTGCTTCTTATGCTTTGCGCAGAAAGGAGATCTTGAGGGAGTCTGGGATGACTAACTGCTCTGCGCTGAGGACGGGGGGAGGCGAGTAGAGGAATATGACAGGAAACACTCTCCTCACATCCATTAGGAGCTGTGAAGGCTGACTGTTAGAGCGGCCTTTGAGAAGCCCCTAGGACAGCAAAGACAGAGGAACATGGGATACAGTGTATTTTCCACATGAGGAACATGTTTACATGTTTACATCTGCAGACTGTACCTGAACAGAACGTATGAAATTCAGAGTGACTCTTTCATCCAGGTCGCTGTGGGGGGTGTAGAGAGTCAGAATCTTCACGATCTGTCAAACAAAATAAGAGACCAGCAGCCAATGAAATCATGCACACACGTTCGTCTCCCAGCAGAATCCAAGTAGACAAACAGACCCACCTGCTGGCTGGACAAGGCACTGCAAGTCCGGACGATCCCCTGAGCATCCGCCTCGGTCTTTTTCCCCACCTGCAGCAGCTGCACTGCCTGGATGAGGGGCTCTAGTGTGGCCACAGCGCCCCCTGCCTGTAAACCGCGGCCCCGCAGCCACTCCTCCAGGACGCTCACATTGTAGCTGTGACAAGAAAAGGATTTGAGATAAATCCGTGTTTATTTCTATAAGACCACACAAAGCAGGTGGAAAGAACAACATGCAGACTGTTGTGCAGCACGTGATCTAGCTCTGGAATACAACAAAGGCGAAATTAATGTTGACACTCTTTCAGGGTGCTGATTATTAAAGTTGAAGCTGTGTTTGTGGGGATGCTGTATTATACATATGACATTCATCTCTGCAGTAGGTCTAGGCTGCTGTGGGCTAATCTCCTTTCAAATTTCCTTTATTTGGCCTTTACATGCTAAATGCTAATCTGAAAACAACTTAACCTCATTTTAGATCACACAACTGAGATACAAACAAATTGAGGTCATTTAATTTTTAAAATTTATGGACTTCAAAATCAAGATATACTAGTTAATGCAGAATATGTTTATGATCTGCGTTTTTATTTGCATCTCATGTCAGACTGTAAATCTAAGTGCAGGGTTAAAGTGTGTTTCTACCGTATTTGCAGGCCACGACTCCAGCTGCACATGTCCTTCCTCAGCAGCAGGCTGTTAAAAGCAGAGGCACAGATGAGGTAGGTGAGCTGGTGAAAGGCTTGCTCCATCAGGGTCTTGGGCAGAGCTTGTTGAGTCAGAGCGGTGTGAAGGGCTCCGAGCTCCCTCAGCACAGACGCCATCGTGGGAGCCTCGCCTCCTACAGTCCTGGGGTCTGAGCCGGCCCGCTTCCTGCTCACTGCCAGCTTCACCGCTGAGCCTGATAGACCTTGGATGGTTTCGCTCTCCAACAGGGCAGGGACTGAGGGAGGGGAGGGTTAGAAAATAGATAAGAGGAGCAGAGAAGGGGAGAGCGTCAATCATCACTTTTTGCAGTACCTATGATGTTTTGTAGACGGGTCTCGGTGATGGAAAGGAGCTGCTGATAGGCCTGGATAGAGAGGTCGCTCAGGGTGCGGATCAAGTCATTCATATCAGCAGACAGGGGAACCAGTGTGTCTGAGTCGAGGGTCTGAAAAGCAATCAGTCCAGTCACGTGTGAAAGTAATCAGTGAATCCTAAACTTTTATAATCTAGTCAGTGACGTAGAAAGTAAATGAAAGCTGAGCCTGCCTGCTTTGGGGAGTGCTGGGTCAACAAGTCGTGGAACAGACAGATGTTCTTCAACCACAGAGCAGCCATGTCTATGTCACTGACATGTTTCTGCAGAAAAACGATGAAAGGGAAAATGGTTACATTTTAATTAGAAAACATTGCTAACAATGAAAAATGAAACTGTGATTGTTTGAACAGATGTGTTTAAAACAGACTTTGTTATGGTTACGTTGGTATGAGATGCTCATGTGGGCCAAATTAATCACAAGGACAAGTTTCAAAGTCAGCTGTCAGTGTCATTTTGTAAATGGCAGTCTGCCTGACTCGATGTGAACCGTCCTCAAACATTAAACTTCAACCATACGGCACACCGAGAAGGCTCAGAGATCAGGTCACCTTCAGAGCTGCCTTCATAGCAGTGACAGCAGCGCTACAAAGAGAGCGAGCGCGAGCTTGGTCCCCGCTGCAGTCGGCCTGGCGGACACACAGGAAGAGCACGCTGGCAGGCAGACCGGGAGCCAAAGACAGGGCGCTGTCAACACGGATGTCTGAAGCACAAACAGAAAGGGAAGCAGTGGCAGAGAGAGGACA